CTTATTCTGATTATTGTTTATTTAAATTTGCCAGATATTGCTATAACATGGGGAAAACTAATACTGGATCAGCTTTTTTTATTGAGAGGAACAATGAGAATCGTTTCAAGTATTTCTGACCCTTGGACAATGTGTTCGAGGATTTCGAAACGCGATGCGACCCCTAATTTTAGTCAACGGTACAACCTTTAAGGCTAGATATGAGAGCAAGTTGATTATTGCAATATGCCAAGATGACAAAATCCAAATTTACCCTCTTACCCTCGGCATAGTCGATGAAGAGAATGATCGAACGATACATTGGTTCTTCACGAAGTTGAAGAAAGTAATTGGTCACATCGAGAACCTTGCATTCGTAACCGACTGAGGACAGTCAATAATAAATGGTATCACCGAAATCTTCCCCGAGGCATATCATAGTTAGAAACCTAAAGACTAGATATCGAGGTAAGGACATCGTTGCGTTGTTCAGGAGAGCTACAGAGGCTTATAGTTTTGAAGAGTTTAAGAAGTTCATGGTCGAAATAGACAATAAATTGCATGTTGCATGGGAGTACCAAATAGACATGGGGATCGAACACTGGGCACGATCACATTTTTCAGGACGTTGATGTAACATGATGACATCAAACAATGTGGAGTCGCTCAATACCTTATTCAAGAAGGATCGAGAGTTACACATTCTCGCAATGGTTGAGAATATTCATGACAAGCTTCAACAGTGGTTTTATGATCGACGTGAGGAATTACAGAGTTGCACAAGTGTGCTCACCTCGGTTCATGAAGATGAACTCTTCAAGACTCTAGATGTGGCGAGAAAGGTATGCGTAGAACCACTAGATTAGTTTCGCTTCTCCGTGAGATGTGCACGTAATTTTGAATATATTGTGGACTTGAATGGTAGCACGTGCACGTGTAAATAGTTTCAATTTGAGAGTTTTCCATGTGCACATGTAGTGTTTATTTTCACCACACCTTGTGCAGTGTTTATTATATGACTGATTATTGGAGAGCATCGTATGTCGAAACAATATTTCCTGTACCAAACAAAGCTGAGTGGGAAGTTCCCGACCACATTTTGTCACTGAATAATTTGTTGCCACCAGAAGTCGGACCACGTACTCCAAGACGCAGACATACATCTAGAATATCATCTACCGAAAAATTTTCCCGACATATTAGGTGCGGAGCAACGAGGCATACACGACAATTTTGTACAAGCCAAATTCCATTGCATAACGATACAACAGATGTGTAATAAAATTTATTTATGTAATATTTATTTTTAGTTGGTTATGAATAATAATTGTGTATTTAATATTCACTATGTACCAAACTAATTATTTCTAATTTATTTAATTAATGATTATTTACTTAAATAAATAATATTCATAAATAATTAACATTGTAGATTAAGAATTTAAATACATAAAATAATACACAATTACATTCATTCATAATGTACAAATCAATATTCACAGTGTTTACAAACATTTCGTATTTACAAAAAATAAATATTTACAGTATTTATGGATCACAATTAAAGTCGTACAAATTGCACGCTAACTTATATCCAAATTTGTATCCAAAATTTGTTGATTCCATAAATATTATATCATATACTCAAAAACTCAATATACTTTATTATAAACATGCCGAAATTGCCCATGCATTTGAACAATTATGAGTTAGATCAGTATCGTGCAACAAAAAAATTAAGTATTAAATTAAAAAAAAATTTACAACCACTTACGATATTGTCTGTCTCGTCGTCATCGTATCCCATACAATGGCTAATCTATCCTGCATAGTCGCCTCTGTCATCCTCTCCTCCCCGTCCCCTCTCCCGTCCCCATCCGCTCCAGCGCCTCCTTCCTCTTCTCCACCGTCACTTCTTCCGTCCCCATCGGTGCTACCCGATCTCACTCCACATATAATAAAAATGATTCTAATGCACATCTGTCCAAAACTATGGTGACCCCCCTCTCTGCCACCCGTTCTGCCAATCCATAGCCTACCCGCAATATCAACTAGGAGCGTTGCGACCTCATCCTAGATGGATATGACGTAGTCAAGTAGCAGTCTAACATCATAGAATAAGCCGTGACCTCTCTATCAACTGTAGCTCCACATCCGCTATAAATCCGGTCAGGTGAGCATATAAATCATCGATCCCATGACCATGACTGTGTGCAAGAGATCCACGGGGGATGGGTCTCGATGGGAGAGAAGGTGATGCCATCGGCGGAGGTGGTGCCTTCGGTGACGGTGATGCCATTGGCGGAGGAGATGCCCTCGACGGAGGTGATTGTCAATCAACTGTACCATGCTTCTACACAAATAACATTACAAGTTATTAACTTAATTATTGTTATTAACTTAATTAATAATTTTTAACTCATAAAAAAAATATAATCAATAAATTATATGAAATTCACGCACCAGCCCTCGACCTTCCTCCACCACTGAAGGCGTCAGCTTAGTTATGACCTCAACCTGACATATTGACATTACTACTAGTTAACGATTGCGCAATGAGATTTTAAACTATGTATAATATAAATTACAAAGTGCATAATACTCACATGAGGGGTTGTCGAGGATAGCCAATAACTGTTTTCTAGACGGACACTCGTCCGCTCGTGATACCCGCTAATGGTACATCCAAGGGCATCGTGTCTCCAATCGCTTCACAAAGCGAGCATCAAGTAGGGGACAGTCTCATACGCCCAAATCTACAACACATACAATTATTATATATAAATTCAATAGTATAAATATTTTGACGTTGATTATGTAAACATGTATCTGCACTGCCAGGGGCAATCCATAGGCACCGTACTTGCACATGGGCCCCCTGTGCTTTGACTGAGATCTGATGAAGAGGTATACGGTGTCCTCGAAACATTTTCGATTTCATGGATAGTTGTAGAAGCCATCGATGTCATCAATGATCTCCAGGTGGAAAATGTCGATCGCAGTCTTCTTGTGGTGACACCGCACCACGGACTCAAGGATGTATACTAGACCTACCTTTAGTCTGTCTAATATCTGGTCACACCTCCTCATCACTTTGATCAGCTGTGGTAGAAGTGCTGTCCCTTGTCCATGGAAGTAAGTGTCGTGTAGCATGTTGCCTCTCTGAGTGCTGTCACAAGCTGGCTCATCGCCCGTAATCTCCAGTTCAGTGATCAAGGCAAACTAGAGCATAGAGAAATTGGCGATCTTGTCCCCGACCTCGAAGTGGAGGACATCGCCGTTAACTGGACTCAACAACCGACATAGAAGTGCGACAATGATCTGTCATGAGTACTGCACCTCCCTCAACTGATACAGGGTCAAAGAAAGGACTAACGTAAGATATTCGTGTGCTGATCATCCAGCAGCTCCAGTATTGTAGTAAAACTATCGAAGCTCCATGTAACTTTCCCCAGCATCTGTCTCAATTCTGCATGTAGATGGTAATCCATCCTACAAAAAATCAAATGTTAAAACCTTGTACAATGGAGAATGGAATAAAACATAGTAACAGAACATTAATCAAACCTTATTATTAACATGTAGATTCATCTAATAAATGATTTAGAAAAAGAACGGACAAAAAAATATAGAAAAAAAATTAAAGAAACACATACAAATTAACAAATGTATATTAAATTAAACAAAATAATTTTAGAAAATATAAACACTATAAAAATAATGCAAAAAACTATTAAAATGTATTTTAATAAGTAAATTATAATAAAAATAAAACAATTAAGAATTTTTTTTACCCTATTACCAAAAGAAAAATAATAATAATATTTAAAATTAAAATTAAACAAAAGGAAATAATATATATATATATATATATATATATATATATATATATAGCAAGAAACAAATTCATTTCATTGCACATTATAAAGGAAAAAAAAACAAAAAATTAAATTAAATTAAGGAAAAATAAATTTAAAAAAAGCAAAAATGAAAAAGAAAAATAATTGATGGAAAAAGAAATTAAATTAAGAAATAAAAAATACACATACAAAAAGGAAAAAATGAAAATGAAGAAATAATTGATGAAAAGAAAATAAATTAAGAAAAATAAATAAAAAAAAAAGAAAAAATATATATATATATATATATATATATATATATATATATATCAATTAAAATTGAAAAAATTAAATATTTGTTTAAAAATGAATTTTCAATTAAAAAGGAAAAAAAGAGAATTAAATTAACAAATTTATAAATGAATTTTTCATATAAATATAAATATAAATTTTTTTAATATAAAATAATTATATTTAATTTTTAATATAAAATTAAATTTATATAAATGAATTTTTAATATAAACATAAATATTTTTAATTCAAACGAATTTCATGCCTAAAAAAGAAGAAAAAGAATTAAATTAAAAAATTTAATTTATTTGTTAGTTTTCAATTTAAAAAAATAATTAATATTTCTTAATTAATAAAATAAAAAAGAAAAAAAGTGGCCCAAACAGTCTTGGGCCGACTGTTGATAGTCGGACAGTAGGCCCAAGATTGTCAAGGCCGATTGTTAATAATTGGCGGACTGTCAAAAGAAACTCCCTCATTCGTCGAAAATTTTAGCCATTTTCGACTATTAAGCTCTCAAATTGGGCCCTTAACCCGAATATTTCTTCCACAATCTAACCTAATCAAGCATTTTCTACCCATAAATATAAATAAATTTCCATTTTCATTCACAAGTTCAATCCATTCCATATTTATTACAAAAGCTAACCTTTAATGCTGGCATCGGTGTGGTTGAAGTGTGGTGTCAGCGTCGGTTAGAAGTCGACTGTTAGAGACTGTATGGAAGAACGTGAATGAACGTGAATTTGCTTCTTGGATTTTCGGGGTATTTTCGAGTTTTTGTTTACAAACTTTTATTTTATTTTTCTTTTCTTTTAGTGATATTAATTGGTCAAATGCCAAAGGTTAAAAAATGGCTATTTCAAATTGCCCTTTGCCCTTATTTCCTAATAGTGGTGGTCATTTCAGACTCTGACGTGGGGCATTTTGGGAAAGAAAAATTCTGCGAAATAACTATAGAAAGGGATCTGTGTAAATTACGAGACGAATTCGTTAGGAGCAATAGGACCTGAAAATCCGTAAGTTTTCTTCAAACAGGAATATGTATTTTTTCGCCGTATAATTGCAAAAATACGTATTATGTTTGAATTTTTGATTAGAGGATCTACACTTTTTTCTGAAATTCTTATCTTAATTCGGATAACACCATAGGATTTGATTGGATATTTGGTATATTTTTTTTAGGGATCTGGATCAATCCCTAACCGTTTATTTTTTTCGTAATTACAAAAGTGTAATCATGTCGAATACTGTTTTTTTCTTCGTTTCTGTTTCAGTTGGTTTTTCATCGTGGATACAGTAATATTCATATAATTGTGATGCTAAACTCGATCTAAAAAATCATGTTACTAATATTAGTTTGTATTTGGCATTATTCATCATTATCAGCATAATACTATACGATTGCTGTTGTTCTTCGAGATTTTTTAACTGTGGACTTGTTGTGTATGAAAGATTGGAAGTTTGCACTAATTTTTTCTTTTAAAGTTGTTTATTTGAAAAAAAAGGGGGAAAAAAAAACGCTACTTCATTTTTATTGTGCATTAGATGTAACAAGTATTTATTTATTTTTTATTTTTTTATTTTTTTTAATGAATCAATGTAATCAGGACGGTTGTCAGTTGCTTGGTGTGATTAGGGAATGTCTGGGGATTATCAAATTCCTGAAACGAAGAAGTAAGTTATTTAATGCTTTGCCTGCTTTGGTTAACCAGAATCATTAATAATGGCCCTTATTTTCCTTTGCAAGTGTAAATGTTATCATAGAGTTGAAAGAATTTGAAACAGGCAACTGTCTTAAAGATTTGTTCAATCACCATTTGCTGAACCTGTTGCATGAAAAGTACATCACTTGATTTATTCAATGTAACCAAAGTTGCTTGAAATTTGATGAATGGCGCGCACTCTCGTGTGTGTTATTTTTCCCTGTTTAATAAACACCTCATGTCCCGTGGTGTACCTTTTTCAATTTTATCATCTTGGGAAGATTTGTGCATGAGTAAGCTGTTGTTATAGTGTATTGCATTTTAATTCTCTTTATAAATACTTTTTCGGGGAATTAATGGAATTTTTTCAATGCATTATGTTATGACTTATGATAATATTGCTTGACTTTTGAATATAATAACTTGCTTGCTATGAAGTTTTTGTGTTATCAAAATCATACTGACAGGAGCAATTTAATTGAGGTGCCAGGGCACGAGTGAAATGGGACGAAGCTAATTTGGGGGAAATTGAGGCGAATAAACCTGTAAGGCAGAAAATAACTGAACCAAAGACGCCATATCATCCCATGATTGATGATGATGGTATGGTTATCGAGTTTCTTTCATACGCTATATATTTGTTAGGATTGTAAAAGACTGTTATTTTTTTTTTTTTAATCAATAATAATTAAATCTTTTTAGTCCACTAGAGTTTGCTGACGAGTTTTGATCTTCATCCACTGGAACAATAATTTCTAGGTCCTACTTATTTCAACTCATGCCTGTGTTTTATGGTCAATAATTCATAAATCTTTATTGGATCATGCATGAGATTCCATGCAAGAACTATGGTCTAATTTGTCAATTTTCTTTGTTCATAAAGTGATTCTTTGTGGACATCTGAGTATGGGGAATCTAGAATTTTATCTAGCGTACAACCAACTCTTGGTATATGAGGAGGAAAAAATTAAAATTCTTAAGGGGTAGAAAGCTTAAGAATTTAAGACCGCTGGAAACACTTTTGAATACCTTAGGGTGCCTTGGATTTAATTCTAATTCAGTGATGCAAGTGAAATGGAAACCTTCATTGCCATTCTAGGATAAATTCAAGAACGTCCAATGATTTCAGCGTTTTTTGCTATGCTCTTCAAGGACAACGGTTCTTCCAAAGACTAAGAGTTCAATAAAATTTTTGGGGACTGCCTTGTGTCCACAAATATTGATTCTCGTGTCCACAAATATTGATTCTTGAGGTGCTACCATGGAAAGGTGATTGAAGTACTTTTTGTAGTGAGTCTGCCCAAGTCCCATGTTTGCGCGCTATACCTAACCAAATGCATAGGAGAACCCATGCATATATGTAAGTTTATGCTTTGTTTCTTATTCTGAATTGGTCATATATATGTAACACGTTATGTGTTGCCCGAATTCATTAATGGGTTGGTGTTAAAGCATCTAACAGACCTGTACTGTTCTTGTTACTCTTTTGCCTTTACTGTTAGTCATTTTTTCCTTCTTTTCTTTTTTTTTTTTTTTTGGATGGATTTTTTATTTTTGGAAATCCTTGCATTATACTTGAATATAGATATGTCCTAACTAGCACCAATTCTTATGGCAACGAGCTGGTGAATGCTGCATAGAAAACAGTAAATTATGCATTTAAGCTATAGGAAATTACTGTTGGTTGATGAAAAAGGGAATGTTTCATTCCCCAGTAAGTTTTACAGTAATAATATTGACATTTATTCAGTTGATAAGTTCTCATTTGTTTTTCTTCTTGATTTGTCCTTTAATTCATTGATGGGTGAAATTCCATTTTTTAGACTTGCTGTTTGAGGTCCAACATGAAGTCATTTGTCTTGGAAGGAAACTACTTCTACAACTTCGATTTTCACAAATCTTATTCTTTTTCCTGAACTTCGAATATTGATGAATATAGGATCATTATCTCCTATTAGGGGAAGTTTTGAGGACAGCTTTGGAGATTCTACACATGCAGATGCTATACGTTCGGCATTGAATGATGTGGCTTCCTCAAGCAAAAATAAGCCTCATCGCTCAGGCTGGACATCATCTGAAGAAGAGGATGGAATGGATCAAGATGAAGAAGGTTGTCTCTTATCTCATTTGCAATAATTCTAAATATGCATAAATCTTTTCTGGAATGCATATTATTACTACCAAAATTTTCACATAACATAATTGTCCTAATTGTTGTCTGATCAATGAATTGTTTGACGTTTAAGGGTTAGGCTTGTTGAAGGCTTTTTATATGGTTATTTATGTTCCATTGCATCACATGCTTATGTTGTTCTCTAGATTTTTTCTCTCTGAATTCAGAATATAAGAAAGAAAAAGATATGTAAGCTTTAATACCAACCACGTTTAGCAAGCTTAAAAAGTATTAAGTCAAAATAAGTTCTAAAATGAATAGTTTTTTATGGTCAGAGTTGGAAGTAAAGTAAGAGTTACTTTTAAAATAAGCAACTTTTTGAGCTTAAGATTAACTTTTCATTTTTTTAGGTCAAGATGCTAGTCCGTCCACCTCATCCTTTAAACTGTAATACTGTGTGATTTTGGATGTTTGTTTGCTGGGGTGATTACCAGAAGAATCTAATGTTAAATGCACTTCTATCAGATTCTAACTCTGAGAGGCAAAGGAGCTTCAGGGAGCATCGTACAGCTCACTATGATGAGTTCCGTCAAGTTAAAGAACATCGTAGAAAGGGCTCGTTCGTTGAAGACGGGATTGAGGACTGGGCCGAGGACAGAAGGTGCGATTCATCATCATCTTTAACTGATGGGGTTAAAGACATTGAAATCGAGGAATCCGCACTGCCAGCTAATGGATCTTAAAATCAATTACAATCAAAATAAATTGTACCCGTGTCTGTTTTTGTAACGTGGTTTTATTGCTCTATGCTGGTAGTTTGAGGACTTGAAACTTTTGGGCTTTTCTGACCTTCAGCTTTGCAACATGTGTATATGCATTTAAATTTGCGACACAAAGTTTTATCATTTGTTTTGTAGAGAGATTACATTTCTCTTTATTAGTACATGTTTTGTAAGGTGGATTGGAGAGAAGCGGACAATATTAAATAAGAAAAAGAAGTTAATGATATTATATCCAATTGAACTATATATTTTTATAATTCCTTTTTGGATTTGTTGGTATAATGTGCCAATGAAAAGTAGCCAGATTCTTGCTTTAACTGTAAAAACTAGAATCAAGAAAAATTGCCCAATTTTCGTTTGAAATATATTTATTTAAATTTTAGCGTATTTCAGATGGAACCAGCTGATCTATGTTGAGTCCTTTTCTAGTTATATTTTTTTTCCCACTCATAGTTCCAATTTTGATACCTTGATATAATTGTTTTGTGAACCATTCCTCATGTAATGGGAGCTATTAGTCTCAAACAATATAAGAATAATAAGAAAGGTTCTAAAGATGGTGAAACGAGTTCACGAGTGAAATGTGTTGCATTTATTGTATTATATGATACGGAATAATTTGACAATCTAACCAAATTTTTTATATTTAGTACAATGTATTTGTTGAACGAACTTGATTCCTGTTTAATGAAGCTTTTGAGACCATAAGCTGGAGTCATACATTTCATTAGATCCATAAGTTTTATACACTTTTTTTAATCACATATTTTATGTTTCATCATCTTATAATCTCTAAAAGTGTTGTCAAATAGGGACCAAGTCAAAAATAAAATAAAATAAAATGAATGTAGCATCTTTCATAATCAAGTTAATAACAAGTGTAGTTCAAAAAAGACGATATTAATATTGACGTTCCTTACTTTGACATCGTTACTTATTTATAATAAAAACTACACTATTCAGTTCTCTCTTTTAAGAATTGTTTTAAGTGACTTTTATTTAAGGTGGGCTACTTGAAATTTGCTTCGTTTCAGCTATCACGTTTTGTCAATAACATTCATCATTTCTTGGCATTTTTGTTTTGAACCTTATTATATGTACATCAAGCTTTTCATAATAAATTATATAATATCATATACATGGGCGGATTTAGCAGTGGGCTGCAGCCAACTATCTTCCAAGCCCAGATACAAAAAAAAAAAAAAAAAAAGGTTTGAATTGTAATTATTCAGCCACATTAGACCACTAACAAATAAATTTAGTGGGCTAGCCCACTTTAAAAAAAATATTCTTTAATTTGTAGCCCACTACCCTATATCATTTTAGGCCCAAAATAATACCCATTCCATTAATCAAATAATTAATCCCCAATTCCCAAACATTTTCCATTCCGTCACGTGCAAAATCAACTCACAAGCAGCCAACATTTTCCATTTTCCATGCCGGTTTGTGACGGTTGTCCCTGCTCGTAGCCACTGGCCGAACGAAATTGTTGATTGTCGATTGGCTCGACTAAGCCTGCCTACCGATTCGCCGCCTCAAGCTTGCCTACCAACGACTTGGGTTAGGTTTTTAGTCATGGGCGGATTTAGCAATGGGCTGCACTTGGCTGTAGCCCACTGTCTTCCAGGCCGAGATACACAAAAAAAAAAAAGAAAAGAAAAAAAAAAGGATTTGAATTGTAATTATTCAGCCACATTAGCCCACCAACAAATAAATTCAATGGGCTAGCCCACTGAAAAAAAAATCTTTAATTTGTAGCCCACTAACCTATATAATTTTAGGCTCAAAATAATACCCATTCCATTAATCAAATAATTAATCCCCAATTCCCAAACATTTTCCATTCCGTCATGTGCAAAATCAACTCACAAACAGCCAACATTTTCCATTTTCCATGCTGGTTTGTGACGTTTGTCCTTGCTCGTAGCCACCAACCGAATGAAATTGTCGATTGCCGACTGGCCCGACTCAAGCCTGCCTACCTATTTGTCGCCTCAAGCCTGCCTACCGACGACTTGGGTTAGGTTTTTAGGGTAAGTAATTTACTAATTAGTTTCTTGTTCAATTCATCAATTGTTTGTCTTTTAATTTGATTTCCAGAAAGTAAATGTGAAATAAATAATGAATAGCTTGGAGAAGTAGAAAAAATTTGTTTTCCATTTTCAGAACTATCGCCCCTGCTTGCTAGTATGATTCATGAAAGATCTGATGACTGGTGTTGAAAGAAAAAGGGCTCCTAATTGGCTAATTCCTAAATTTATTTAGGCTTGCTTTACTTTGGCAGTGGCAGTGTGGTCAATTGTATAATTTGTATTGTGCATGTGTATTGTTAATTTGATGTGCTTATGTGTATCAGTGTATGACTGCACTAGCAAATTGGAAAGTATAATGCCCGGGGATTCCAGCTGAAAATATGTATTCCATTTTTATGATAAACTGACATGCATTGGAAATCTATTAGTTGCAGTGAAGGGATTTATAAATGCATTTGAAATGTGTTTGAAAAATCCATGCGGATTAACCACCCACAGTGCAGATGATTCAAATTTCATTTCATCACTGAAGATTTGCACAGAAATTTTCATGTCTATATATCATAAAATTCTTTTCTTTTCTACAACTTATATGCTATCTGTTGTATTTTTGTTGATCATAGATGGAAATAATTACTCTAACCTGGTCTTAAATGTTTGGGAAATATGTAGTTTAGGGAATGACTTTGATTTTAAGTCATTAGGGGTTTTATGAATATCATTTCCAGTCAACCATTGTTGTGGGGGGGGGGGGGGGTTGGTTTAA